CTCCTTGACCTTGCGCGACCAGTGCTTTGGGACGCGGAAGAGCCAGTACAGGATGAGCGCGGCAACAATGTTGAACCCCACATAGGCAAACATCAAGCCGATGTTGCGCCCAACATCCGAGTACGACATGTTGAGACTTCCGAGGAATTGATCTGTGCTCGACATTGGGCAGATCTTGCAGTCCACCATCGCCTCAGGATTGAGCAATGTACCGTGCATAGCCTTGATGTAAGGGTCCAGATAACTGCCGCAGGTTTGTCCATCTGGAGGCGAGACAGTGAGCCACTCAATACTAGAACATTGCACCGAAGTCCCAGTCAGGCCCGTGGAGAACACGGACGACACAAAATAGGTAAATGGCGATACGCGGTTCATGAAGATCCAGAACCGAGGCATATCAGAGGAGTTCGCGAGTACGCTAGAAGCCCGGTTAGCGCTACCAGCAATTAACTACCAAAGACCGGCCGACAACTCACCCGTTGAAGACTAAGCAAAGCGAGAACATGAACTGAGCAATGTTACTGCCAGTATCGGGCTCTTCAATTCCAGCAATCATCATGGAGCTGAAAGTCGACGTGAACATCATGAACTGTAAAATGAGCAGGTACATGATGCCGCTTCGTTGGACGACTGCGTTCGTAGGCTCCGCATTGTGATAGAACCCGATCGGGTAGTACCAGCTGAAGAAAGCTGGGACCGACATCAAGATATTCCAGACCAGCTCCGTGAGGATACTGCCTAGCATGAACGCTATCCACGAGTAAGCCTTGGAAGGCCGTTCGCGTACCTCATACAAAGCACGCTGCGTGACGAAGGACGGCATCATTTGCTGGACCAGACCCGGGAAGATGACGAGGAGCATGAAAATTGCAAACATCTGATTTTGCAGCCCTTGGAGGCTGGTAGGCATGTGCCAGAAGGTGAATCCGAGGAACAGTGGCTATACCTGTTAGTCTATCAAATACAAGGGAGGAAGATATCTTACTGAGGCGGTGCAGGTGAGGACTTTGGCGTATAGATACGACGGAGATCTCCAGTACTGCTGGAACATGCGTTGTGTACAAACGAGGAACTGATACCAGATTGGCATGGCAAATTCACCATACCCTGCAGCCCGCAGGGGCATAGGCTTCTTGGATAATTCCTTTTTCATTTCAGCCAACTCGCTGCGAACCTCTGCACGCTCGGCGCTGTTGGTCCATTCTTCGGCCCAGTCTCTATCCGCATGAGATCCTGGCGCAGCACCAATGACCTCGAGCATCCATTCGGCCGGGTTTGCGTTCCGTGGACACTTGGGGGACCCTTTCTCTTGGAAGTATTTGATCAAGGTTTCCATGTTCGGGCCAAGGTCGCCAAAGTACACTGTGCGTCCTCCGTTAGCAAGAAACAATAGACGGTCGAACTGCTGCATCAACATGGCCGAAGGCTGATGAATGGTACACAGCACAGCCTGACCGTGGTCGGCCAAGTTGCGCATCAGGGTACAGATTGACCAAGCAGTTTGACTATCCAGACCCGACGTCGGTTCATCAAAGAACAACAGCAGGTCTGGCTTGGCTGCCAGTTCCACGCCGATAGTCAACCGCTTACGCTGCTCCACGTTGAGGCCCTCACCGACAACTCCGACAACGGCATCTGCGTATTCTTCCATACCGAGCATGTGAATGACTTCCTCGACGTATGCGATCTTTTCCTGGCGAGAAATGGTGGCAGGCTGGCGTAGGAAAGCACTAAAAACCAGAGCTTCACGAACAGTACTAGTCTCCAGATGCAGATCCTGTTGCTGCACGTAACCCGTCTTCCGCTGAAAAGAATCATCACGTAGCCGGCCATCGATAAGCATCTCACCGGAGACGACGCCAATAGTGACACGATCAGCCAGCACATCGAGCAAGGATGTCTTTCCTGCACCGGTGACACCCATCAAGGCCGTCAGAGTGCCGGGCTTAACCCAACCATCCACACAATCCAGGATGCGTCGCGTGGTCCCCTTGATCTTGATATCATAACACACATTTTCCCAGTGGAAGACAGAAGTCTGGCGAACAATTGCTGCAGTTGAATCCTGAGGTTCGCTAGCAACTGCACCTTTCTCTGACGCAATGACCTCTTCCGGATCCTCTTTGCGAACATTCTTGACAAATGAAGGCATCTTGCCGCGCGGGAATACCAGAACCTCACCTTTGGATGGTTTAGCCCGGATAAGCTCACTGCAGAAGATGTAAAGCACAAAGAAGCCGACGAAGAAAGCGCAGAGAATTCCGAAGTTTCGCCACAGATGCGGGCTGTAGTATTGGTAGGTTGTGTTGATGTATGTCTCTCCGTCAATGAAATCCTGGCCTGCCACAGCACCCTTCTGTGAGCAGATCTTGGAGCTGAGAGGCGCATCCTCGTAAATTTTCGAGCCACCCGGGACAAAATTCGAGCAAGGGAAGGAACGTCCGCTGAACTCATTGATCATCAACGCCTCAAAGGCGTACTATCTCGTGTTAGCATGTTCTGGTGGGATTGAGCGAAAACTAAGTTATCATTACAGCAATAGGGTTCACGTAGTTGAGCCATCGGAACCAAGGGTGCATATCTCGGACAGGAATGGTGAACCCGGTGTAAATGACCAATATAAGCATGAAGATCGAAGCAGGAGGCATGGCCTGGGCCACGGACCGCGAGATTGCGCCGATAAACCGGAAGATATTGGACATCACAAGGGTCGTCGTTGCCGAAAAGAGGAAAAAGATGAAGAAATGGGCCGGAGTTCGCCGAAGATGAGGTAGGAAATAGATGATTAAATTGAAAACAACTGCTAGTAAGACCTTTGATGGAAGTTCGACAATGTACGCACTAATGGCTTCCGCCGAGGGATGGTACAGCGCGTACTTGCGATGCTTTTCCACAATTGGCCGCTGCTGCCACATGATCATGATTTCCAGTGAGCTAGAGAAGGCACTGATCATGATGGCAAAGAAAAGTAGGGCTCCGCGCTTGTAGAAGCTGTCGGTGTTGTTCGGTGTCTCATAGAAGAGACTGGAAATGATCAGCGACATGCCGATATTCCCAAGGAGCGTAGCAAGCGTCATAGCCAAGTCTGCTTTGAGCCGTAAGAACCCTCGCCAAAGACACAGGCGGATTTGCCCCAGATACGAGAGTGTGTATGGGGAGGCTGCACGACTAAACTTGGATTTATCTGCTGCACGAGAACGACTGAATTCCTCAAACTTTTCCTTTCCATTTCCGGCTGCATTGGCTTCAATCTCAGCAAGAAGCTGCTTACGCTCCGGACTGTCTTTCCAGCGTGCTGCAAACTCATCTGGTGTGCGTGGAACGGTATCTTCAAATCCGGGACGAACAAGGCGTTCCGAAGGGCTAGTAAGGGAAGTGAGGAAGTCCGCAGTGGTTTGTCTATCTGGGCAATGGAATCCCATCTCGACAAAGAAACGTCGTGCATCGCCTGCACGACCGAAGTATATCTGACGGCCTTCGTAGAGCACAATCGCTTTGTCAAACTGGTCGTAGATGGACTGACTGGCTTGATAGATTGCGACTATAGAGGTGGATCCACTATAGTCCGTGGAGAGGCGGATGTTCTTCACGAATTCCAGGGCCGTCGAGCTGTCGAGTCCACGGGTGCTGTTGTCCCAACACTGCAAAGGACATCGACACAGAGTAGTTTCGGCGATGCTGACCCGCTTTCTTTCCCCGCCGGATACACCTCGAATGAACTCATTGCCCACCTTGGTGTTCATGGTATGGGTCAAGCCAAGCATCGTCATTACCACATCTCGCATGTGGATCGCATACTGGTCGCGTGTAACACCGGGAAGTCGGGTATCCGGCGCTCGGGCGTGAGCGGCAAACAGCAGTGTATCACCGACTGTCAGCTGAGGGAAGTGAGTTTCGGTTTCGGCTTGGTAGATGACCTCGCCGCGGAAACGACTGTGCATGTCATCCCAGGTTATACCATCATAATGCACCTCGGACCCTTTCTCCTTATCGAGATAGAGGCCATGCGTCTCTCCAGCAATGGTTTTGAGGAAGGTAGAGCATCCGCTGCTGGCTGTTAGTGGTTGGTCTTTCTTGGGTGGGGGTCAATTCACGTACCTTCCCGGGCGACCTAGCACAACCAACATCTCACCACTGTGAACAATACCTTCGAAATCCCGCAGGATGTCAATGCGTATTTTCTTCTGAAAGCCGAGGATCCTGCGGAACCACCCTGCGCCTTTGAGCCAAAAGTTGGCAAAGTTCATCTGGTAATCAGCTGCGGTCCCATAGCCGAAAACGTTGAGGTTGCGGAAGGAGACTCCTGTTGTGCGACGCGGGAACCGGTCTGGATCGCGAGAGGTCATTTGGATGATGTTCTTCACCCATTTGCGCGATTTAAACTGGCCACTGTTAGGATCTAACTCTGGGTCACTGGTCGAGTTGAGGAAGGTGTTGACACCAGAAGTTTCACTCGTCTCGACGCTGCTCTGTTGTGAGATTTTTGAAATAGAACGTGCCAACGTGGTGATTTGTCTGTCGCGATCATCCCCAGACTCAGATACTGGGGTCTTCGAGCCGGGGGTATCAACGGCACCATTGTCAGGCATGTTTTCCATCTGGTCTGGCATGAGTGTAGTCGGCGAAAAGCCTAAAGAAGGAAGAAGACGTGAAGCCATAAAAAAAACACGCTAAAGAAGGTAAACGAGGGTAAACGAGAGTCGTTGACAGAAGAGAAAAACAAAGGGTGAGACGTGACAGATGAGAGTGTTATGGAAAGGAGGGAAGGAAAGAACATAAGGTAAGAAGGTAACAAGCAAAGGAAAGAACGAAAGAACGGAAGGTGACAGATCCGAGAAGCTTCAAGAGGAAAGAGGGAAAAGCGTCAGCACCTGGGCATCCATGGGTGACTGTCTCAGCTCTTTCCAGAAAGGTAAATGGAGATATTATGTGCTACTCTATGTACATACGTTGCTGTTTCAATATCAGCCGAATATCTGAACATTTGAATATCCACGTGTCCGAATACCTGGTGACATTGCATTAACTATAGAGAGTATAAGACCTGCATCACATAACGTATATATTAAGGTGTTTTTCAGCCTCTTGATTGGCTGTGTATTAGCTTATTCATAGCAACTTCCCTTTTCGGTTAACGGATCTCGGCTTCGGCCAATATATCAAAGAGACTTGACTCGGAATTGGGAGGATCCGAGAGTCTAATGGGAACTCTACAGAGGAACGGAAAACTCAAAAGTCAGACATCCAAAAGGTCCGGTAAAAGGACTATGAAATCATGTGACACTGTTTCAAACCACATGAACTAGCCCTGGAGAAAACATATCTTTATATCTTTATACTCCTTGTCTCATCAACCCCTTAGTCCATCTCATTCTCCTCTATACCCTAGTACAAAACCGAACGTGCCTTCATCCATGTCTGCAAGATCAACTGTCTCCAAGAGACGCGATCCTTGGACCCCGCAATAACACTACCATAAGGGAGCACTGCGTTCTGGATATGAACAACGCGAGTCGTAGTCAAGACACGACCACGACCTGAGACAGCCTCGGCCGCAAAGTGTTGGTATGCGTGACCAGCTAGCACGAAGGACGTCTCAAATCCATTGCGCTTAGCCTCGCCCAAGAACTCCCGGGACCCAAATCCATCCGCAACGGCATAGAATCGCCAAACCGCCGTCTCGGTATCACCATTCCACGAAACAAAGACTTCGGTGCCTGAGGGGGTCTTCTCAGCCACAATGGCGGGTTCTTCTGTCGGCAGGCCAGTCCAGTTGTACCGGAATGCCCGATAGTTCTGGACACCCTCGCCCAGCAGTCCTGAGTCCATGTAGGCGTGAAAGATCGGTGTACCATCCGCCCGGAACTCGGACATGGCTCCCTCAGAGCCCCAATTGACCAGGGCGTTGCCGTTGGGTAGAAGCTGGGTGCTGCCTTGGGACTTGGCGAGGAGTCCATCTGGAGGCGAGAAGGCTTGAACAATCTTGGCTGTCCAGGTTGCAGTGTTGACGGAAATGACCTTGCCCTGCGAGAAAGGGTAAGTGTGGACCTCTTTTCCGCGGTGGTTCTCTGTTCCATGCGCGGAGTTATCGAACAGCGAGATGATTTCCTCATTATCACTCTGCTGGAAAAAGCGCGCGTGATGCTGGAAACAGAACTTGACGTTTGGACCGAGCTCAAAGTCCGAGCGTAGACCACCCAGTCGCCAGATGATTTCACCAGTTGTACCGTTGATCTTGTGGACAGCGCAAGCATCCCGCGCAGAAATCAGGTAGTTACCTTCGACATCCTTGTCTACAGAGTTGATATGGAAGTAGTCCCATGCGTCGGATGAGTTGTAGCCCGAACCCGCTTGTCCCGGGTTGAGAGGGAGGACCGCCTCTGTCACGATGTCAGACGAGTCAATTATAAGCGTTTAAAGTAGTTTACCCACCATCGGGAGAGACATATTCGAGGCTAGACCACTCAAATAGTAATTCTCCAGTCCCTAGGTCCAACTCTACTACGAATTAGCATTAGCTCTTCGTATATTCGAGAATCAACATACCCTGAAAGATGGCATCGACAATCCACTGCTGCTCAGGGCTGGCGCCCCAGCGAGAGAGATCCCTGGGCACAGGCTGATAGACCTGGAGCAACGCCGTCTTCTCATCGATGACATGGAACTCATGCTTATCCATGAGCTTATGGTTGCCAGCGCGGAGCTCCCGAATAGTCTCATAGCGCTGATTCAGGATGGTGGCATGACCGTGACCATGCCCATAGGCAGGGTTATGATCACCCTCAAAGCTGAACAGCACATCCTGACCATTCCACCTGGCCTTCTGGAAGTTGGCGGCCCAGATGGAGAAGTAGGTATAACCCGACCAGACAAGCTCACCATCATCACGAACAATATACGGAGCTTCCTGACGGGGACCATGAAACTGCGGCTCAGCCCACTGGCCCGGGAAAGGCGCGATGAAGAGGTAACCCTTCTCGACGTCCTTTGTCGCTGGGATGGTGATGTTCAGACGAGGCGGGGCCAGGTCGGTTCGTGATTTGAATTGCCAGTCTGCTGCGGCGAGCGGCAACAGCGCTGCGGTGCAGGTCATGGCTTCAAGGAGCTTCATGATAAGTACTGGTCCAGCGATCAGTTTCCATGATGCTCATCATTATGTGCATGATAGGGTACATTAACCTTAGATGGGTACTCTGCACTGAGTCTCTTTGACTTCTTTGAATTCGAATAGCGTAGAGAGAAGAAAAGAAGAAAATCACAGACATCACATATCCTTGTTAAATAGGAGAACGATTCCCTCGAGACACATCTGCTAAACTACTTCGGGAATGTCTACCGCTGGCCGCAGTTCTCAACTACCATGTCGTAAATTATCACGGTATCCGTATATGATACTATATACCATAGGTATTTACGACATGATAGTGGACAACTGCGGCCAGCGGTGGACATACCCGAAGTAGTAGTTCTCTTAAATATGTAGTTGATCATGTCACAGTGGAATGTGATGTCGTGACACTTGGCGGGGAAGATAATCCGCTCCCATTTCCCGATCGAGTGCCCGCTCGTCCATGAAATTTCTGAAATTTTTGATATTCGGCTAGACTACTTTTTCGTCATTTTCTGAGTCGCATTGTGATCTGAACGACATTTGAGATCGACAATGGCATTGAATCCGAATGAAAGTCCCTCGGCAGGCGTGATACCGACACACGAGAATGAAGCCGAAAGGTCGTCTGCACAAGGAAACGAAGAGCAACCATTATTGCAATCAGATCCAGTTCCTGCGACTTGGAGCCCACCGCCAGGGTTTCTACTGATCCAAATCGGTAAGTCAAAATCAAAGTCCATACATGATCAAGCAGAATTTGACGATTTAACAGCAATCATGGCCAATGTATTTCTTGGTGGCTTTGACGGCACCATCACTGCCTCAACTTATGCTGTGATCAGCTCCGAGTTCAACGCCGCAAACACTGCTTCGTGGCTGACTACCTCGTACTTGATCACAAGCACGGCGTTCCAGCCTCTTTATGGCCGATTCTCCGATATCCTCGGTCGCCGGTCTTGTTTCTTTACTGCAACCGTCACCTTCATGGTTGGTTGTTTAGGATGTGGCGTAGCCCGCGATGTAATCTTTTTGAACATCATGCGCGCCTTGACGGGCATCGGAGGCGGAGGATTGATGACTATGGGCAAGCGAATGACCTCTCAACTGACACATCGATCACTAACAAGTATCCTAGCGACAATCATCAACTCGGATATCATTCCCTTCCGCCAACGCGGTATGTACCAGGCAATCCAGAACGTCTCATACGGCTTTGGAGCCATTTGTGGTGCTTCTTTTGGAGGTGCCATCGTTGACTCGATCGGGTGGCGCTGGTGCTTCCTGCTCCAGGTTCCAGTCTCCCTATTTGCTTTGATCATGGGCTACATCGTTTTGAAGTTCCCATCACGCAACACCGAATCTTCCCCAGATCGGCAAACCCAAGGTATTTGGCACCAAATTGATGTTCTGGGCGCTTGTCTGCTCATTCTGGCTCTCTCGGCTCAACTGGTCGGACTCAGCTTGGGTGGTAACATTCTCCCTTGGACTCACATGTGGGTAATTCTACCTTTGGTCTCTAGTGTGATATTGCTGGCCGCGTTTGTCGCTGTTGAAGCGAAAACCACCGCGGCTCCTTTGATTCCATTGAAGATGCTACGGGGACAGCTCGCGGTATCCACACAGATCGCCAATGTCTGTGTTGGGATGGCAGCATACGCAGTAAGTTCATCCGGTCCACCAGTCTTATGAGCGTCACAACTAACGCGTTGCATCCAGTACCTCTTTACTCTACCTCTCATGTTTCAGGTCATTCTCCTCGATTCACCAAGCAAGGCTGGTACCAGACTGGTGGTTCCCTGTCTATTCACCCCACTAGGTGGTCTTGTAGCAGGAATCATCATGTCACGCTGGGGAAGACTGGCCTCCATTGTGCGCGTCGGCGCGGGCCTAATGTTCGTGGGCAATGTGCTCGTCATGCTCCTTCGATTCAACGACTCGCAATGGAAGTATTTCGCCTATGTCATTCCTGCCAATCTTGGTCAGGGGATGGTGTACCCAGGAATCCTGTTCACATTCCTAGCGGCCTTCGATCACGCTGGTATGATACTTTCCAACCCTTCCCTGTCATTTTGTCGCCGGTCCCATTTGCCGAATGTGCGAGCGACCGAGCCATTCGTCAAGCCTGCTAACGATGTCGTATGCAGATCACGCCGTCTCCGCCTCAACCGTTTACCTCATCCGCTCCCTTGGAACCGTTTGGGGCGTCGCAGTGACCGCCACAATTATGCAGAATACACTTAACTCAGGCCTCGAGGAGGCCTTGAGTGGAATACCAGACAAATGGAAAGTACAATTCCTTCGCCGTGCGATAATAACGAGCACGTGAACAAGCCTTGCTGACCAGCATACTCGCTTTTTCTTAGGTGATTGACGAGATCCGCCACTCAGTCTCGGCTATTTATGATCTCCCCCCGGATGTCCAAATGGCCGCTCGAATAGTGTACTACCGCGGGATCAGACTCTCTTTCATGGCCTCCGCCATCTTTGCTTTTATCGCAACAGGCGCTTCTATCTTCACACGTGGAAAGGGTCTAGTGCGCGCGGGCGGCAAGTAAAGAATACGAGGCTGCACCCCGAAGGAACCCTATAGGGGAGTATAGGGAAGAGACGTGGTGTTTATGGTGGGGTCAACCCATGCCTAGCGCAGACCCGATGGATTGGCGCCGGCTCCCAATCCGCGTGGGCTGAGGAAAAGAAAAATCTCCTCGGTGAAATACATAGAGGCGGTAACAGGTGGAAGTAGATTAAAAGGCAACCGCACAGTTCCGAGCGCCGATGCTCAATGCGCATGCGGTAGATATTGGAAGGATATAGCTTAGAATATAGAAGTTGGCAATAGAAATATTAAAGCTGGATCATTCAGTCTAATATCCGATCCATCTAGCAAAATCCTCATAGTAAGATGTCGTGTCCAGAAATACACCTGAATACTGGTAAGTATCATTGCAATGGAGGCAGTAGCCTCGTATGTTACAGCATCAATTACGGCGGTTTGGCCGAGTGGTCTAGGGCTGTTGAGTATGTTTCTCTTGATAAAATAGCCCACAACGTCTACGTATGAACTAACAATTCCTTCAGTTCGAACGAACCTTGGAAATCAATTCTGTTCGCTTCATCAACTCCGTTCGTGGGCGAACTCGAATCATGCAGCCGTCGTCGCAAAACTTTTGCCGGCAGGAGGAACGCCATCTGGCATAGGAATAGTGTGGGGCCTATTCCTTTTCCGAAACCTGGAGGAGTAGAGGACCTCGACACCCTGGGCGGCGTATGGCCGATCACCACAAGATGGGGGGTAATCTACCCCCTTCACCTAGGTACTGAACAACCGGAGAAGGACGGGCAGCTGACAGGTGACATCACCTCAATTTTGAATTGTCTTCTGTGGTTTTGCACTTTGTTATATAATCCCATAGCTTGGCACTTCCACATACCTCTAGGTTAAGTGGCGAAGGTAGATAGTCATATGGCTTCGAGTAAAGCGGGTAAAGGCTATTCGTGGGAGTAAGGATCTGAATGAATTCAGCAAACAGGCCTTTACCGACAGGTTTCAAGCCTACAATACCCTGTTGATGAAGTAGACCAAGGTGGGGACTTGTTCCTTTGGAGATACTGCTTCTATGGCAGACATGATGCTGGTTCCTACATTTGGCCAGGCTCTTTTGCGCAGAATAGATTCGGATTTCATGCCTAACCTCAAGCACATCCATTCCGCTCTCAAGGAATAAGAGGGTTTCAAGGCTACGGGTTAGTGGAATCAGGACGTACCGGAGAAATTCCGGGTCCAAGACGTTTGAGGCTGGTCATGTTTAGGTCCAGTGGGAGTTGAGTGAGGACAGGGATTAAAGCGATGGGGATTGAAGAGACTGCGTCCGAACCTCGGATGCAATATATTTGAGTGTAGTAATGCTATCCATCCACAGCCTTCGTCAGACTAATGCATACTATTGACAATGCATTAATTGGTAGTAAGCACCGCAATACTCAGATTGGGCAGCTTGAAAGAGAATTCGCCCTTCTTGCCGGCCTTGATCCGGGTAGTCTTGCTGTTGACCATGTTCGACCCGCCCACCTCGTTCATCGCAAAGGGATCTGATGCGGTCAGGATGGTCAAGTCTGCCTTGGTGCCACGGCCGACACCCTCGAATGTCAGTGATACAGGCACATCGGATGTGCTGTTGTATACTGCTGCCTTGAAGATGTGCGAGTCCGTCTTGCTGTTTAGACCTGCCACATAATACAGAGGACCGAAGGCGTCGGGGGAAGTTGCTGGGAGGGTGTTTGTCATGATGTTGTGGTTGAACAGCTACATTCGGGTCTCCATGTTAGCAGTGTACTCTCGGGGTCTGATAATAGTGTAACATACGGTCCACGCATGCCAGCTAGTAGATCGAGCTGTCTGGTCAGGATCGGCGTTGAAGGAGAGCATGGTTGGGGACCATTGGTAGCTGTCCAAGTTCATCAAGAAGGGAGCCTATTCCTTTGTCAGTTCTCGTCTAGCATGGCATAAGTTGAACGACTTACGTAGGTACTTCCAATAACCCTGTCTGCGTTGCGCTCTGCGCCAATAAGGAACACAGCCTCGGCAACGGTGCCGATCCACCAAGGATACAGAGAGAAATGGGTATCACTCCAGTCGATCTCTTCTCCGTTCAATGGCGAGGTAGCGGCAATCTCACCTTGACGTGTGTTAGTTATGGTCTGTAATTCCGTTAAATTACTTACCGAGCAAGATAGGATGCTCAGGCGCAAAACTGTCAAACATATTGAACTTGCTGACGAAGTTATCCGGGGTGTCGTACAAATGGTAATCACCACCTGCAGTTCCAGGAATTTCCATATTAATAGTAGACGCAAGGACCTGGATATCGGGGTACTTGGCCGTGATAGCTTCATAGAATGCGTTGAACCGGTATGCCTTGTACGAATCCAGGCCGTTGCTCAGCATATCCTCGTTTCCAACCTCGACATACCGAATTTTCCAGGGCTCTGGGTGCCCAACCTTGGCGCGTAGAGCACCGTACTCGGTATCCACAGAGCCTGTCAAGAACTCGATCTCGTTGAGCGCATCTTGCACATAGAAATCGAGGTCGGCTTCCGGTACAATTTCTCCGCTTAGAGCGAGTCCAGCGTAGACGCCCAGGACTAGACAGGGGTTCTCAGCTTGGTAAAGCATCGCGTTGCAAAAGGGTGTACTCACTGGGCTCCATGCCAAGGTCGTCGCACCACTCCATGTACTCAACCAAACCCAATCCAAGGGTCTCCTGGTATTGCCAGGTGGTTGCACGACCAGGTCGGTCTTTGAGCGGTCCAATGGTCTCGTTCCACTTCCAGCGGCCTTCGATGCTATCACCCTCCATGTTATTTCCACCAGGGAAGCGAAGGAATGTCTATGAAGTTTATTAGCCTCTAATCTTCGACATTATTCATAGCCAACGGTATACTTCAACTTACAGGACCCATATCAGCCATGGCTTGCATCAAGTCTTTGCGCATGCCATTGGGGCGATCATTCCACGTAGGAGGGAATAAGCTGATGAGATTAAAGTCAAGCGAGCCATCCGATGCTTTCTAGAAACAATTAGCCGAGGCGCGTGGCCAGTTCCGTGTCAAATCTTACCGAGCCATCAAAGGTCAGTGAGAACGTATTCTTGGTATCGGAAGCCTTTTCTTTCGGAGTAAGAACAAACTTATGTTGCACCCAATCGTCTGCAACGCTCTTTGAGGCAACCTTGGTAGTGGCCAGAACTTTGCCGCTGGAGGAAAGGAGAGAGGCCGTAAAGGAGCCTTTGTAGGAGCCTTTCACGTAGAATGACCCGGTATACTTCTGAGGACGGACGTCAATGCCCCAGAAACCCGCATTACTCAACCCAGCTGTGCCAGAACCCTTGACATTAACTGAAGTCGGGAGAGCGGTTGACAATGGGTCAGTGAGGTTCTTCAGGGACAGCGATGACTCCCCAACCCCAGACCAGGCCTCCAGTGACGAAGGGAACTTCTTACTCCCCTGGAAGGCTCTGTTGCGGATCAATTCGGCATAGAGACCTCCTTCCGCACAGTGGTTGATTTCCTGGACCTTGAATTAGATCCAATACTGCACTGGACAAGAAGTTTAACATACCTCTTCCATCGCACCATATTGCAGACCTGAAGTGGCATTTCCTCCAGATTTAGCTACCGAAATGGAGACAGCGGCACCATATGACGCCAAAAGTGGCAGGAGAAGATATTTGCGCAGCATTTTGCTGTGTTTGAACCCGCCTCGCCAATGCTATTCGGAATGTAAGGAGTATGAGTAAAGGGCGCGCTGTAGCGGATATTTATATGCAAGTGATTCAGTCGCCCAGAGAGAAGTGCCATGCCGGATAATTACTCGTGCTCCTCATTGTGCTCAAATTAGCCCGGATAGATCAAGGTGACGTCTGAGGGGTTAGAGAATCATAACATGATCGTTTCCTCGGGCAGCACAATTGCCGACAGCGACCGTAATACCGGCATTTCCTTCCCAATGAAGTAAATCTCCATGAGGGGTCCTATGAGCATAACCTGGCTTCTTCCTTTGGGCAGGACGACCTGCCGACAGCGACCGCAATAGCGACACTTCATTCCCAATTAGGTAAATCTCCATGAGGGGTGCATATACCAAGAGTAAACCCCTCCGAGTAGACACTCTCTTGGGGGAACATTGGCATAAGCAAGGCCGACGTATGTTGTTGTAATGGTCTGTTCCTTGCATTGGGTCATGCAAGACTACAGCAGTATCTTGGCAGGAGAAACGCCGAGGCTTATACCCTGTAAGCAATTTCCGGTTCTCCATGTTGATTTGAGACAGTGCCGCATTCAAGAGACGCCCCTCCACCTTGGCTGCGGTTGAGGGGTAGTTGATCAGAGTCATGACTGGCGATGTGATGTGATTGACGGGTAAATCCGCGCGCCTTTCTCCGCAGACCCTCCACTCCGAGGCAGTGCCTAGCTCGCCAGTTTTTCTTCTAGTAATTAATATAATACGTTAGTTAAGTTATAAATCCATTAAATTGAATACATGGGTTGTTTTCTATACCGCATCACTAACGCTGAATTTTCTTCCAAGCATATTCCAATTAATGGGTGTGTAGTTTGCTTCTTATTCACATTCTTATCTTCAACTATATACATATGTACAAAATTAGGTTCAATTTGGGTGTAAAGTCGTACGGAGAAAGGCCCTAAGCTTGAAATCATCTGGGCCGTCAAGCGGATCATTGGGAGGCCCATTGGGATGATCACGGCACCGGGTCCCTTTCGGCTGTCTGGCCATCAACTGCAGTGACTGCACCACTCGAGACTTGCCTGTCGATGGACATGCCCTTTACAGCTTCTTGGATTTCGCGAAGCAATGGGTCACTTTTTGCCGGTCGAGAAACCCAATGACCCAACACTTGGACTTTAGGATATCTGGTCCTCCGTTCCAACAGCATGTCCGCACGCCGGAAGATAGTCAAATGTGTTTTCATGAAGGAATAGAGTGTTCTTGCACAATTGCACAATCATGTCAGTATCTTGGGCCGCAGATTCCAACGCAGAAATGAGAAACTCACTTAGGGTTCGTCAATTCCTCCAATTCCGCGCGAAAACTCGCTGTAACCCAATGATCTGAACCGTGCAATTTGCTATTGATCCGAATACACTCTGTCCGCATGTCAATGGCCTTTTTGCGTCGACCCTGGTACCCCCATGCCCTAGCTAGCAACATCATCGTGTTGATTGTCTCAGGATGTTCAGACCCATATGTGCGTTTTTGAATTCCAAGTGCTTCTGTTAACAACGCCTCGGCCTCTTTTAGCCGCCATTGCTCCATGTACATCCGGGCAGTTCCAATCGTAATCCCGATCGTTCGAGGATGGTCTACCCCGACTACCCTTTTGTTGATATCCAATGACTGTAAAGATAATTCTGTCGCGTCCGAGAACTGTCCATGAGAGACATAGGTCATGATCAGGGTATAGATCGCATCCATTGTCTCAGCAGATCCTGGTCCAAGGGCTTTGAGGAACCGCGGGATAGCTTTCCTGCAAATCTCTTGACCCTTGTAATGATTACCACTCTCGCGGTATACACGCGATAAATGGAAAAGAGCTCGGGTACCTTCGAGGCTCTCGGAACCATAGATATTTGTTATCCTTTCTAGTATCTCCTGGGATACTTTGATCGCTTTCGCTGATTTGCCTTGAGCCGAGTAGCTACCTGCCAGTCCGGTACGAACACATAGTGTATATGGGTTTTCAGAGCCATACAATGTCTCCGAGATTTCAAGAGCTTCAGTGAAAAGCTGCTCGGCTTCTCTGTATCTTCCGTCCTCCATGTGACATCTGGCTACCGCGTCTAAAATTTGTGTTCTGGCGGGAAGCTGATTTTCGCTGGCGGTGAGATCGAGTATCTGGAGAGCATGAGGTATTGCTGCTCGCCATTGATTCCGATTCGATGGGTCAATCAAGGGGAAGTGCCCAGCTAAGCAATTCAATACATGCAGTTGCCACCCCCGGCGTGAACCGACTGACTGTAGCCAGTTTCTTGTTGCGAGATGAACCAGACGATGCATATCGAGGCGAGAGTCTTCGTTTCTGGCGCGTACGAAGGAATAAGAGCTCAGGACACCGATCGCTTTTTGCTGCTCGACGTTTGATGCTGGAGGAAAGAAGGAGATTAAGATATCCTTCTCTTTAAGACAGGCCATGAAGCAGAGATAGTGGGCAGCCAAGGGATTTTGCTTCTGGATTTGCTCAAAAGACGTAAGCCACGTAGTGGCAACGGGATTGCGAATGCTTTTGTATCGACCTTTGTCTTCAAAATCTTCGCTCAACAGGTCGACGGCGCTTTGCTCTTGTCCATCCAAAAGTTCAACGTATTTGCTGAGTGGCATTCTGTTTTCGTTGATGAATGAAGCGGCCTGAACAATGGCCAAGGGGAGAAATGTTAACCGGCTAAGCAGCTGTCTGGTACTGTTGATGTCCTGCAGAAGTTCCTTTTCGACCAAGGAGTTTCGTAAAACGTCAGTCGCTTTATGCTCATCCATCTCAGGAATCTCAATAATGTCTGTATCGGCAAGGTATTGGGCGACTTTATTGCTTCGTGTCGTAAATACAATGGCACCTTGATCACTCGCAGGAAGGTATTCCCTAAGTCTGCCTGTTGTGGAATCTTCGCTTTCGATCCACATATTGATCTCATCGGCATTGTCAAAAATCAGCAACCACCTTCCAGCACTTGGTTCGCTGAGGTGACTTTTCACTAGATATTTCACATCCTCATTTTTGTTGGGAACAATTCCAAGTTGATCCGCCACCGTCTGGTAGGCATGCTGAAGGCTTTCCATATCAACCGCAGGAATCCAGAAAATGGCACAATCTGGATATAACTCTCTCGTCTGATATGCAAGCTCCAGAGAAATCTGAGTCTTCCCAACTCCTCCGAGACCAAATATAGCAATCCTTTCCCACTTGTTGTTGATGAACAATCTTCTTTTCACTTTTCCCACGACTTGACGGTCAACATATCGGGGGTTTCTCTCGAATGGAACAACCCAGCATGGCACCATAGTTGAAGCGTGGTTGCTTAGTGGGTGTATTGTTTGCAAGATTCGATTGCGAACAAGTCGAGATTGAAACTCCTGTATAAAGGTCAGTATCAGGTTGACAAAAAAGGGCTTGCTCGATAGGCGCTCCTTAAGGGCTTACCCGCATCGTTGTTTCAAAGTCAACATCAGTCTTTCCTGTAAGTTGTTAGTGTCATCATTGACATGAAGTAGGTATTATTTGAGATCAGGAATTACCCTCTTTACCCGAAAGTTTCAGGATGCAATCGCGAACCCGAACCTTCTGGGATGAATGATGGAGGTAGGCATATGTCGCAGACTCCATGACACTTCGCTTCTCAAACTCTGTCATGTGGACTTGCTGCAGTCCTTGCTCAACATTGAAACGAAAGTAACGTTTCCCCTCTACCTCATTGCTCCATCGAGCCATAAAGCGACGCTCGGTGCTCTCGGGTTTAGTTGCCATTCTGACCAACGTCTTTGAGAGGAACTTTAGCACATTGTCATCCATAGAGACTTGCCCAGGATTTCCCGTCCCAATCGAAACAAAGCATTTTACCAATGGCTTCAGGTCCCGACTTGTGGTACACCAAATATCAGCCGCTTCTTCTTCTACTTCTTCAATGGGATTGTTGGCGCCGAATGCACCGTCAACAAATTGACGATTCCCGATCGAAACTGGGTCAAAATATCTCGTTGCGGCCGATGTTGCCAAACCTGCTTCGCAAATTGTGGCCGGTAACGTGTTCTCATTGGGTACGGAATAGCTTCGAAGTCGTGTGACTTGTAACGTGTCTTTGGAGGTTGTGCAGACAAACACTTTGGAGCGACGGGGCTTCCCATCATCCATCGGGTCGGTTGGAGATAGACCAACACGTCTAATGACATTTTCAATCGCTCTTTTGAGCTTCTTGCTATCGTATTGCGATACGATATTTCCAGACCAGTCAACTGGCACATTGTTAATCTTCTCGCTGAAGACGGATTCCATCAATTCAGTATATGCAAGGATGCACTCGTCGACACCCATTTCCAGCCGTCCTAGCATTATAGCGATCAGTCTAAATATTGGTAAGTTACATGTCAGCCCAGCTTTTGCTTAATCTCTTGATAATACACACCCTCCTGTACTTGTACCTCCAATCAGGTCGAAAACATCACAAGGTTTGAGCGGTTGGCTATCCTCGTGCTCTGAATTGAGCTGTGTCATAATATCCTTCAATATTAAGAGGCTTGACAATCCTCTCACACCGCCGCCATCCAGGGATAGGAGGCACAGGCCACTGACGTTTAGTGGACTTGGTCCGATGCTGCTTTTCGTAGTCATGACAATACCCATATATGTTGGGTGTTATTCCTAGTATAGAGAGGAAAAATTAACGGCGGAATTAATGATCATTTAAACAGGCTTTTCCTTTAGGGCCAAGGCTTGTAATTGCCAACACGGATGCATAGAGCAAGGCGCTTAGCTACAGGCCAGGGATTAACTGGTTACCAATCATTTCTGAGTCTAGCTTTTCTAGTACTAGACTCCACGCAATGCGCCTCCATTTCTACAAATTATTTATTTCGAAACTGCTAAGAATATAAGTGAAATGTGTATTTTCTGTCAAGCTCGATCTCCGACGGTAATTTCACTTAAGCCAAGATCTGCAGGGGGTTAATGAAGAACACCCGTGGAGCTTTATGCCCTATACAACCAAAAAATGAGATAAAACTCTCCCTTAGATCTGGTGTAACGCTGATAAAGTTGATATTTGTTATCAGATGATTTCATGTTGTTGACTGTGCATCCATTTGACACGCATGTATTCAAGAAAGACATGGGAATTTGTGCGAGCCAATATGGATCAAATTGACTCATGCAATGAATAAATGCTGGAGCTATTTTGAGCCCGCTCAATGTACCTTCTAGGAAAAATAAAGGCGTGAATAAACAGAGACAAGAAGAAATTATGGTAATTCAAAGAGTGCAAGTCTGTTCCAGAACGTTGCGGCACGTATCGAGAAATTCCAACGCCAGCAAGAAGAAAGGTATCGTCAATGGCATTGATTGTAGAGCTTAGCAGCAGGTATCGCAGCAGTCTAGGCAGCATTCACAACTCTCTTCGCACAAGAAGCAACAACACATCGCCATCAGACTGAACGAAAAAACTTGATATTAGCATTGTTCCCACTTTCCCTCGCATTATTGATACTTACCAGCCCATGAGGCATCCCCTATCCTTCTGCTCTGGCTGTGCTGGCTGTTGTTGAGGTTGCATGGGTGGTTGCGGAGGGTAGTAAGCCCCCTATAAACCGGTTAGTATGGTATGTATAGCACGTGAATTGTCGATATCAAGACTAACCTGTCCCGGGGGTGGGCCGTACTGGCCTGGGGGGTACTGCGGCGGGTAGCCCTGTTGGTAGCCGTCCCCTTGGGGGTAGCCGTATCTGTATTTATAAACGGATCAGAACCATGTTCAGCATCTCGATCAAGATGCAAGCTCGCTGTAGACCAGGCTACAACTTCTGCGGTCGCAAAGCGCACAGAAGCCGACCAGTCACAGATTTGGCATCTTGAATGATTCGGCCCCAATACGCCGGCTAAAATCGAGTATTGTGTTGATAAAATCGAGTATTGTGTTGATATAGAGATGACTTACGCCGGCTGGGGATATCCTTGCGGAGGAGGCTGCTGCTGATAGGACATAGCGACGGGAGATAAACCTCTAAAACAAAAGGAGAACGAATTAGCGCCATGATAACAACCAACATTATAGGGCCTTGCGGCGCCTTGATATGATGAGACTGGGGTCAACAGTGGAGGAATGGCCGCCACAGCGCTTAAATCCACGTACCTGGTACAAGGTGAAGACGGAGATTGGTTGAAAGAGGAGGCTGTGCTGAGCCACCGGGATAAGTGAATGAAGCAAGAGGAAAGAGAGGAAGGTGAGGTTGATGAAGACGGGAGGTTAAGAGTGTCAGAAACAAGGAGAAAAATTTAGGTAACTCACTTTATGGAGGTTGTATTGCAGGTGAAAAGGAAATTGTTGGGGTACTTAGAGGTACTTTGCCAGTGCGCCCGATAGGAGGAGTTTGTCTGCCAAGACTTCAGGGCTGAGGTAACTCCGAAGTAGCTTTTAGTCTTTTCCCCCTTTCCCCTTCTTCTCCACATAGACCGAGTTTGTTAGTAAATATTGATTCTTGAGATTTTTCACTTATATTTGGGTGTAAGAGTGGATTTTCAATCCAATTGATTCATTCCATACTAACAACCCATTGGTACAATTACATCTCAGTACACCTCATACTGGATGCCACGAAAAAGGTCCCGGTACCCACCGTGTACTTAGGCCACAGAATTCATTCACCTTCGGCGACCTGTCAGCCACAGTTTGCCAGCCCTATCGCCGAACTAACGCAGTCAGCCACGAATTGCATTCCGTGGATGGCATTCCATTGGTTGAGGGACCAGCCACCAGGTAACATGAGACTCCACTTGTAGAAGTGGCCAGCCACTCACATCATTTGACCGCTGCCCAGGCCTCTTGGCATTAGACCGCCTGTATTGTTGCTGCCTGGGCAGTACCAGGTACTTGGGCCCTCATACCACGGAACACTCGGATTCTGGTACCAGCTACAAGTACAAGGCTGAATACCGCACTTGAATGTCTCAAGTTTTCTCATTGCAACGTTGTGGCACCTTCAAGTTCCATTCATTATCAAGGGTTAGTTCGAGCTTCTCATCACTGTCAGTACACCCTAGTTCGCGAGAACTGGTCTCAACCGAACGCCATTATCTCACATCCCAAAATATAATATATCGCCAAAGAAACAAAATATATCCAAGTCCAAAAGTAGATCCAATCCCCACTAACCCCCAGAGACAGACCATTAATCACATCCCAAAGTACAGTACACGAACCCGATCAGACGGTGCTCTGGACAAACAGTCGCAAAATAACACAAAATGAAGAGACAAATAAAATAGACTACGATCGCTCACTTGACATATGAATCAATATCAGGCATACAGGATGACTGCGAATCGGAGAACGAGGAATCCGTCGAGCCCTCAACATCGAGTTTGAGATCAAGGTCCAGCTCAAAGTCAAACTCAAACGGCGCATCAGCAAACTCGGGGAATTGGTCAGACTCCTTCAGCAGAGCTGACTTCACAACATAGGGAGGCTGACTCTCCACCAGGCCACAAGCAGCGACAGCAAGCTGATACCCAGGGTCCCTAGTCGAAACACGGCTAGGATTCCGAATCAGAAGCCTCGAGTTGGAGCCACCGCCAGCCGCCTCGTCGGTGACTTCCTCAGCGGCAATCATCCAATGTTTCAAGACATCCATGCCAGGTTGGTTACCTCCACCCTTCCCACCGCGCTTCTCACTATCTTTCCCGCGACCCCCACGGCCCCGCTCACATGGATTGAAATGCGTGCGGCGCAGATGCGCAGCAGCATTATAATTGGCACCATAGCGCTTCCCATTGCGACAAGCCTTGCAGTTTGCAAGGAAGTACTTGCCAGGCGAAATATCGTTGCAGACCCAGACCGTGCGGACGGAGGCGTGCACGCGCTCGATATGGCGGCGCAGCTCGTGTTCGCCGTGGAAGCCATCTGGATGGTCTGTGCACATGCGGCAGTATGTCTTTGGTCGCGGGGGTCGTCGCACGGAGGCCTTCGGGATAGCGGCGACTTCCTTTGTTGTGCCATCTGCTGAGGAGATGCGGAGCATCTTGTGGGAGTCGATCTGGGACATGCTGCTGTCGACAGACTCGATTTTTGGAGCAATGGGGCGCGCGGCCTGGGCGATTTGCTCTTTCGTGCGGCGCGCGGCGCGAGAGTGCTGCATTGCCAGGTTATTCCCGTCGATGGAGTCGACAGGTTTCATCTCCACTGAGTCCAAGGTGAGGCGATCGTTTGGAATTGGGTAGTGGAAGGAGGTGGTTGGGGGAGCTGATGCTGAGAATGACGGGTTGGAGAAGGGGGGGGATTGGTGGGAGAACGGGGAAGACGATGTGGGATCTAGTTCAGGGTACGCAGGGGAGAGAAAGGGGTCTTGATACGGCAGGCCTGATGTAGATGTTGGCACCCACTCTGGCGGGACGGAGCTGGTCGGTTCTTGATAGTGGGATGGTCCGGTCGAGTCGAAGCGGAACATGCTGATTCCGCCTATTAAGGAGTCGGTAGTCGTGCTGCGGGACATCTCCGGCGCAGCTGGTGGAGCCTGGTCGGTCCAGGGGGATGTCCGGTCAGGGTATCGAGGGAAAGATGGTCCGATTTGTCCATTATTTGCGAGTCCGAAAGTCAAGGGCGAGTCAAGGGCTTGACTGGGAGAGGTGTCCAAATACTTAGTGTACTCGGATGGCGAAAATTCGACATGGGTCCGTACCGGGACGAAGGATTGGCGTTTACCTATGGCCGCACCGGCTGGCTGGTGCTGGTGGGAGACCGGTATTTGCTGGCTCTTGGAGCGCTCCATGGCCGTGTGTCGATAGGAGCCTTGTCCCGAGAAGGCAGCGCCATTCCAAGGTAGATCGGGCGATGAGGCGTGGGATAGGTCTCGTGTTAGGTCGGCTGAGAGATCCGGGGTCTGCCAATTGTCAATCCAAGGACGAATGGCGGTTGAGATTAGGAGACGGGAGCGCGGGAGGGGCGGAGCAGAGAAGGTTGGAGCGAGTAACCAAGGTCACACATACGGTGGCTCTCCGTTTTGCCCGAGGAAGACCCAAATCAGAAGATGGCAACGTCCGTGGTGTCGCATCCTGTCGAGTCCGTTTCCCCAGGCTTCCAGCGTGCTGCCAGTTGGTACCCCGGTCGTTGGAGGCCGGGATGAACCGACTCAGCCGTTCAATCCAAAGCTGATTTCGTTCAGATTCCGAGAGGTGGGAGTGTTGGACCAAAAATGCTTCGCGGTATCCGGAGATGGCACTGGTGAACAGTTCGTCATCCAGATTGGCAGTCATGGTGATGGGTCCCTCGTCACAATGGCCGGGGAAGTAACTGTCTATCAGTAATCAAATGGATAGAGAAAGGTGGGTTGTATTTCTGTGAATAGTCAGCGCATGCTTTGCGAGAACAGGCGAGAAAGACGTACATAGATTTTGAGCGCAATAGTAGAATGGAAGAAATTGAAGCCGATGGTGGGTGGAATAGCAGATCTTATCAATGCAATCAAGGTGAAGATGATCTGCGCTGAGATAAATGTACTTTGTTGTATAGTAAATGATCGTGGAAGAAAAACCACTAAACCATGATATCACAAGTTGGGAGAAGAAGCAGATGCGAAATTGGGCAGACGAGTAGATAAAAGGAAAAGAAGACAAAAGTTCTGATCGACGATGGAGGACACTCCCCACAAAGTGAGATACGAGTACTGGCACTTAGCAAAGGCTACTATACTCCAAGAAACATGGCAGTCGATCATCGGTCTGGACCCTTAATGTTCGGGTAGTGATGTGTTTCTCTTTTCGCTATTTTCGCTCCTATTTCTCTAATACTATGGGGCGCAAAGTTTATCCGTGTCGAGGTCAGCCATCAGCAAATCTCCCAAAGAGACACACCCGGGTGACAGAACCGATTACTCCTATAAGCGAGCTCCTGTTGGCTTAGAAGCTGCAGACGTCCGAGGGAAAAACAAAGAACTAAAGTGAGGCAGCGAACCGGATCCCCCCGAGCGTGACCCGAGCCAGCAGATGCGTCCTTGCTTACGAAAAGGTGACCTGATACATGTAGACTGGGGTACATGGCACAATACATAAACAAGTCACTTTTCCCTCAAGTAGCAAGCGCCTACAGCGGCAGCCCGCAAGAAACCGCAAAACAGCCCATTTTTCCGTCTAGCACAGCCATATCCCGAGACCCCCCTAGGACCCATTTACTACTACGGTCGGACCAAGATTGCTCGGGCGCGTCGATGACTGCCACGTCGTCTGGTGTGGCATCCTGCAGATGCTGTTTGGCTCCCTAGTTCAGCGCCCAATGCCCGACCAGAGATGACAAGCAAACAATAATAGCACGCTCATTAATGAGGTAATATAGAAATCCCCGAGGAAATAGAGTGGTCGCACAAGAACGGTTCGATTCACGTGTTGCCGTGGGTCACTCCCGCACCAGTCCCACGGTTCCCCTTTATGCTTGTGGCCAGGAATGGCCCTCTATAACACAGTTTGCTCTTGTTGTTGGTTCTAACCTGGAGTTATTTTCGGCTTACCCGATGTGCCCAATAATGGTCTCTTTAACTCCTGACGGTCTGCGAGCCACTAGCGATAGATCGTCCCCTCCACGTGATGGACAGTGCGGAGACCATTTGGGATAAACGAGGTTTACTGGTGCGATACTAGTACGGAGGCTCCACGGTCTTGGGTGGATCAATCTTATGATCGGATAATGGTTGGACATTTATTGCTCCATAATGAGATGATGATCGGAGCCGTTGGCAACTACTGACATTAGTTTCCTTAGACTGGGCGGCAATCTCGGCCTCATAAGAAAGAGACAAAGTACGGAGTACGGAGTACTAGTAACTCCATGCCTCAACTACGTTGTAAGCCAGGGTGATTAGTTGTCAATCTCTGTCTCGGGATATGATAGTGGGCACAACATGGCCTACGGAGTACATTGTATGGGGTATTGAATGAGGATCGCCGGGCTGGGCATTCTTGCCAAAGAGGGAATCCTTCACTGTAGTTGTCGATTTCGATGTAGGGGGTACGGAGTACGATGTATAATTTCCCCGTCCCGAGACAAGCGTAATAGCTCCCGTCAAATGGGCGAATTTTGGTTTGATGGTCTATCACTCACAGGGTGGCCTAGTCAGGAGTCCTCCCAGCATTGGACACGTTTGATGCTCTCACCGTCAACTCAGATCCTTCCAAGGTTGTCCCTTGACATGTTTTGGCAAACTATTTTAAGTTAAAAAAAGATAAACAGAGCACGGGGTCCTTAGGTACTTATTAATGTGCTATCCATGTCAAGAGCTCGTCTGGGGCTGTGGGCGTTGCATGGTCCAGATGCTGATGAGTTTTCCCCTGCATTAATGCTCAGAGCTTCTGAGCTGAAGCCTGCAGTTAGACACTGTCTTGGATAGTACAGGTCACACGTGAGACTAGGAAAGCATCGAAGATGAGCCACCTTGGATGATAGGCTAAAATTCCTAGTGACTGTGCACGGGCAAAAGTCATTCCAATGCATGGGACTGAAATGGGAAACGATATTGATTTAATATAAGTATGCTACTCATGTCTAAGCCTCAGCTGATGATATTGGCTCCCCGAGCTCACAGGCGGGTTGGACTCGGATTACAACGGCCCGAGAATTTGTATGTTCCTAGTTCGTATACTTCCTCAATACCTTGCAACAACACTCCTGCCCTCCCCGAACATAAACGACGCATACAGATGCAGCCTGCTTCCCCATGATTGTCGTGTGACGAGGGATAACTCGGCCAATTTGCCGACAAGCGATAGAAGAAAGTAAGCCTGCTCCAATAGTAATAGATCCCAGACGCCGAGTCAGTTGAGCTGCTGTGTTTCATGACTCGGGGAAAGCACGTGTCAGCACAGGTGAAGATGCCATGCAAGTTCCATGGCCCAATTCCGAAGTAGGCGGGATGTTCAAGTCAGTAGGTTAATTTTCTTTGTCTATTAGCATGATTGGTCTGCTTGGCAGTATTTATCGCTGTGCCTACGGTCTAGGACCTGTCCTTTGAGGCTCTCCAGACCTCCCTCCAGAGGGCTGCGGGTATATATTCCTGCTATACCACGGGGACGCCTAGTGCCGATTTGATGTATGTTCGTTTCCGGCCAGTATGAGGATGTTGCAGTCGTGCACGATCAATATCGCATGCTTATTACTATACCTAAGAGATACAGAATATCTCGGGCTGTTGGGTACTCTCAGGCAGGATACTCCCACGCAGTGAATAGGTTCTTCATGCTATATGAGTAGGATCGTTGTATGTTGACAATTATTTCGCCAAATAGTCTTCCAATCCAGGCTACTGAGACATTATCCATAGCACCCCCGTGTTTGGATTACCAGAGATCGATAAGGACCTCGTGAACCACCTAATATATAATAGCATAGTGAAAGTTTCTCAAGTGCTAGAAGTGCCTAAAGACCACCTTTTCAAGTTGACGTTGATAAAACCTACTTATTACCCAACTCTTTAGTGCCTACAACATGGGTAGGCATGCCGATCATATACCCAGAGCTTAGCCCAGATAATGATGCTTGATAGTGAACATGTGACAGGTATAGCTATGCATGGTGCATTCTCCTTTATCCGTTCACTATATAGCACTAGTACATATATTAATAGAGCTGTTCCAGACTGAAACCGAACGGGTGAAATCCAGAATATTCCAGGGTACTTGCAACTCCTGCAACTCTGGATCTGACGTCAAGTTGCCACACTGGGCCCCATTTCCCAGGGCAGCCGTTGGACACATGGAACGGCTCATGGTGTGGAGATGTCGCAGTTAAATGGGGGGAATAGGTATACATCATAGACCAAGTAGAGGGTATAATTATGGTATAAAAGGGGAGAATCTTGTGAAATCGACAGTATATTAATCTGCACGTGATTCCACCAGCCACGTCATAATAAATCCTCCAGGGGGTAAATAATTTATTTTTCTCCTATAGATGCTCAATCAAAGAAATACAAGACCCCTGGATGAATTGAAATTTCCTCCAAAGACCCTTTCCCCCATCCTCAACCCCCCATCGATTCCACCTTCAACACCACACCTCCATCATGTCAGACTCAACCCTCTACCTCTACACTTCCCTAACCGCAGGGTCATCGCACATCGTCACAGCGACCGCCCGAATCGAGACTATTCTCAAAGCAAACAAGCTCCCCTTCCGCGCCATTGATGTCGCCACCGACGAAGCGGCCCGTAAGCTGTGGGGTCGACGCTCCAAGGGCAAGAAGCTTCCAGGATTGGTCAAATACGGCGATATTGTCGGAGTATGTGACAGCTACCTTGCATGGGATGCATTATTCCAACGCAGTTCTGTTATACCATGATCACAGTGCTAACCCCGACTTGTAGGATCTAGAAGAGATCGAAGAATGGAACGAGTTCGGAGAACTACGTATGGTAGTAAACAGCGTCCAGGACCTAGGCGGTATGCCCGCCACCAGCAACCCTGTCCCAGCAGCGACCGAGACCAAACCCGAGCCGACACCTGCCACCCCCAAACCCTCCACGATCAAGATCCAGACCCCTCCCGTTACCAAGCCCGAAGACAAGAAGGATGATACGGCCGTGCTGGCCCTGCGCCAGGCTAGCTCGGAGGCTGTCTCTAAAGCGAAAGCCAAGTCAGACGATAAGAAAGAGCCGACAGAACAGGCTACAGAGGTACCTGTCGCAAACCGTGCGCACCGAGGGTCGGTGGCCCCCGAGTTGCCAGACACCGCACCTGATTCACCACAGTCTACGAAACGCCCCGCCCTAGTTCCCGAACAAGCGGCTGTATCATCGGCAAACTTCCATGCGGATAACGCAGAGGTGCTCGGATTGGTCGGACACCATCGCTCGTCCGGAGTTTTGTCACTCGAGAATGGGGATCACGAAAAGGCAGTGCGTGAGATCAGGAAGTCCCTGGATGCAGAGCCTACGGGCAATCTTGATGCTTTGCGCAAAGAGGCTGCGGATAAGGCGAAGTCTGAGTCGATTGAGGAGGTACCGAGTCCGATGGTTGATGATGTGGCCGTGGAAAATAAGGAAGAGCTCATGGAACCCAATGAGCCTAAGGGCAATGCTATTGCTGAAGTGATTGCGACTGCTGTGGCGCCTCAAGAGATCAAGTCGGAGCCTAAGAAGGAGACTACTGGTGCCAAGGAGACGGAGGATGCGAAGGATGATACCAAGGCAGGGCTGGCTTCCGCAAGTAAGTCGGCGGAGTAGGCGATTACCTCAAGGATGGAGGGAGTTGCTGTTCACGAATTCGATGATTATGACATCTGTACATCAAGAATGCCTGACAAGGTTACAATCGATTTTTTCGTACATGCACAGTATGAAAATGTAAATAACTTTTGAAAGCGTGGACAGGTGACTCCCACATGTAAATGCCATTCATAACTCGTGATTAAGAATGTATAAATAAAGAGAAATAACTTTCAAAGATAACACCCCTCAATTGAGGCCAAAACGAAACTCCCAAACCCCATTTTGTGCTATGTACCCATCTCCTGTCTACTGCTCCGCGCCGCGACGCTTCTGGACAGCCTCGCGCAGCTTCGCGATGACGTCGCCGGGATCCTGTGCGCCGAAGATTGCTGAGCCGGCAACGATCACATTAGCGCCTGCATCGGCAGCCTGGTCAATTGTACCCAGGCCGAGACCACCATCGACTTCAATGTTCAGATCAGGGTAGCGTTCGCGCAGGGCGGCGACCTTGGGGAGCTCGGAGGCCATGAATTTCTGACCTCCGAAACCGGGGTGCACGGTCATGACTAGAACCATCTGTGAAACGCAGTCAGTACAATTGCGATTGGAAATGAATCCGGTGTGTCAAGAAACGGAAATCTGTCCACAAAGACTCGAAACAAAAAGGCAATAACTCACGTCTGGTCGTTCCGCGGGGTCCTCGCTCTCAATAATATCCCACAGCACATCGACCGGGGTATCGGGCTTAATCGCGATACCAGCCTGCATACCCTGCTCGTGGATATAGCGAATCAATTGCTTGGGGCTAGTGCGAGCGGTAGTTTCTTTATCTGTAGGATCGGTCGCTGCGACGGAGGAAACAGCAGCCTCATAGTGGAAGCAGTAGAGATCGCAACCGGCCTTCTTAAACTCGGCGACCCATTTATGCGGCTGTAACGAAGCAAAGCAGAGTCAGCGGGAGAGCTCATGACGTACCAGAATGACGCGGGTATGGGGGAAGCCTATAACTCACCTCCATGATCATCATGTGGCAATCGAAGGTGCCACGACCGCAGGGTTCGGAGGGACGGTCGACGCAACCGCGGATTTGAGATACGACGGGGCAACCGATGGTCATATTCGGCACGAAGTGACCGTCCATGATGTCGACGTGCAGCCAGTCTGCGCCCTGCTCCATCTTCTTGGAGCAGTCATGGCCCAGATCGGCGAAGTTGGCGCTGAGAATGGAGGGGGCGATGATAGCGGGCGGTGCCATTATGTGTATTGTACGTATGGGAGTGGAGTGAAGGGATTGGGGAAAGAGTCTGGAGGGGTGGAGGGGTTATAAAGAGAAAAAAAAGTAGATCTGAAGCTCTCCGGTGTTTACATCAGTGGCGAAGAGTGGATATGCCCGGTTCACCGTAAATCCAGAAATATACCATGTCTTTGCCTGTTCGTTTATTCTTTTATCCCCTTACTATTCCTTATTCTTTAATTCTTAGGTTGTTTAATTCTTTAGATCCTTAAAGTCCAGAACACCCCTCTCCCCTTTGCAGAGTCATGATGCAAACGATAAGGGCTCTAGCTCTCACGTGTCAGACTCGATCCACACCTGGGCAATCTTCCAAGGACTTCAAATGTTCTTAGTATCTCTTAGGTACTAAAGATATCAGTCTCATTCTCAGATGATTGCAGATCGAAAAAGGAGGATCGGCATTCTCAAGACCATGCATTCTGGATAACCTATTTAGGTGATGCCGGGAGAAAATATCCTTCAAGTCTGCTGACCTTGATAGACAGGGGCTTACTGGGATTATAGTCCGATCTAAGATCAAATAGGTATCGCCTGGAATCTGCAGCGAAGCCGCGGAATTCAGTGTTGCAGCCAATCAGGAAGTATTCTCCGTGCAGGTTCGCCTTTTATCATTGTAATCCTGGTAAGTATTCCTTAGTCTTGCATCGATGTATAAGTATATTTCTTGAATTTCGACTTGACTGCTTGTACCAAGTTATATATGTCTTACTATTGGCTTGATGATCAGTCGCCTGACTATATGTACAACGCATTATATCTAATCTCCCCTTCGCCGATCATCTAACAACACATCGTTCTAACAAGATCGGGTACAAATAACTCCAATCCAGTGCCCAGTACGGAGTACTCCGTATCTCAATAGCCGTTAAAACAGCCGCTTGCCCAAAGAGATATGTCGTGCTTGTGGAAGTGGGCCATTGTCTGTGCTTGTAGCGGGGCACTCTGCTCCGGAGTATCAACACTTTGTCTGTCTGGACTCCCAACGTTTTTATGCTGTCTTTGTGAGATAGGCTTGCATTACCATACTCATGTGATCCTTTGGTTTAAAGCTAGTTCTCGAATTTTGATTTGGTTTGTCATGGAAAGAGTATACACCGTCCGGAGTACCAAGGAAGATAGTGGTGTCGATCGCAGTGAACATTCAATCTGTGAATACTCTGGGGCTATCAACATGGATTATAACTCTGCAAATACATAGACCAAGCACTCGGTCATGGCTCTGGAAATTCCATACTCTCTGTCTCATCTTGACTCGACACGCATTCCACGTGTTCGTTCCAATTCAGATGCGGGAGAATCGCCGCCGTCCAGTTCCCTGGAACGGCCCGTCTCGAGTCTTATTCTCTGTCTTGGCTATCTATTTTCTAATAATCCTTCTAACTACCCGTGGACCAACACAAGAAGGAAAGGAAAAAGGAAACCTGAGAAAAGTCTCTTGAAAAGGCTGGCTCAACTAATACAAATATTCCTGCTACTGAGAGGATGGTGCTATCTGAAACTTCGAGATCTGCCCGGGATGTGCACTGGCAAATACGCATCGTCTGCTTCTTTACCCTTACTCGTCCTGGATCGGTAGGTACCACCCGCCGGTTATGTCGACGTGTCATATTCTCAAGCAACCCTTCATCAGTTGTCTCAGCCAGTTGTCCGGTCCGAAACGCCACGATAAGAATGGCAAAGTAGATTCCACTCCCGCTTGGGTAGCATACCAAGCTTCTTTATCGGCAGGTGGGCAATACTGGCTGCCCCTCGATGCAGACCATGCGTGGAGATCGACTCCATGATCCCTGTGGCGTTCCCTATTGTCTTGAGGAAGCCATTCATCATCTGGATAGTCGCAGGCCGGTCGAGATGCGGTCGATGGTGGTCAACAAAACACACCAACGGCCGTGGGGGTACCGAAATACCACCGGCCGGTTGTTATCACTTCTCGTCTACGCGAAAACGAGTCAATCACATGTCCTTAAGGCAGGTCAGACACGGGCGAAGGCTTCGAAATGGTGGAGACTCTGATCGAGCTTTTGAACCAGGTTGTTTTTGGACCAGGTAATGCGGACTCAAAGCATCCGCTCCCTGAGGAGTTCGATATTAGCCATCGGTTTCCGCGATCGGACATTTTCGATGGCAAGAAAGATCGTTCAGTGAATGCCAAAGTTTCCCGGCGCTATTAAGCGAATCGTGCGCTGGAAACAGCAGCTGGTAGGGGGATCTTCGGTAATCTCTATTAGTTGTAATCTCTATTAGTATTCAACGAGGACGTGATGGCGCGGTGGGAGTTCTGGGGGACAATGAGTGACAAACTCACGACCAACAAGCTCTTGCTTAGTCCCGGTCTGGCGTCCTATGAGAAATCGCCCAGATCACTGAGGGGACCGAGACAGACACTCTTGATTAGTATAGGTAGGTTCTCTTCCAACACCTACACTTCCCACAAGGTTCTGAAGTTGGTCACCACTTCTGGGAATATGGGACAGCCACCATCTGTTGCCTCCTGCTCTCACCCTCCTCCTGCTGTCGCAGACCGGTCCGTGAGGACATCTGAGAGTGGTTGCAGAATCGCCCGTGTCAAATATCATGTGCCTTTCAGCTTGCAGGTAAGGTCGATCTCCTGCTATCCACCTCTCGTAGAACAAGATCTGCGCGAATAATAGGGAAGTACTTTTTTCTCAGCTTTTTCCTATTGGACTTTCGTTTAGCCTTCACTTTCTTTCGGTGTTCGTGGGCAACGTTACTTCTAATTCCGGCCGGAGTGAGCCTACGGATCTCGGAATCCCGTATTTGCTGCCTCTTTAGCCATCCATTCCGTTGCCGACACCGATTCAATCGATTTGAACTCGGACATCACTGTCACTGATGGTCCCATAATCGACCCCAAAGACTCGTGGGACCTTCATGCCAGTCATCTTCCTGATGACATCGATCTCAATCCTCTGGGCTTGAATGGACGTTGAAGATTGGAAAGATGGAATGGTGTAGAAGGGTGTAGAAGTGAAAGGTCACAACGAGTGAGGATGGCGTACTTGGGTACGAAGATGCGTTGTGATAGAGAAGTGAATAGTCATGAGTCGCACATCAGGCCGCTGATCTGACGGCCCCGTGATGCATGATTTAAAGCCATGGACCTCTAGCCCATAGAATGGCCTTACGGCCTCCTGGTATCATAAATGCGGACTCTGTCTCTTAAGTCGTCTCTCGCGAAACGCAGATCCAAGTTCTCTCACGTAGAGTAGAGGTTGTCCCAGTAGAATGTTTACTCAGTAGATTTCAAACTCGTAGAATCCATGGCCACTCGATATACTGCGTTAAGACAAGAAAGGAAGAGAGCTGGTAGAATTACCCTTGCATATCAAGCCGGAAGTCCACATCCCTGTGTAAAGTATGTTACATCTTTAGACGCCTCAGCTGTTGGGGTTCATTATACGCGCGTCGTATCCAATATTGCCTAACTTAGGGAACCTTCAGTTCTCCTACCAACCTCAACTCTTGCGGGGCTTGCATGGTCATGCTTGATCCAATAACGTCCGGGACGTTTTGGTACTGTAGCCCAGCGCACTTAAAATCCGCAGAACATATTTACAGCCTGGGCCTAAAAACAGAAACGGCCGGACATATTCGTGATATCGTGAAGATGGGTTCCCGAGAGACATGTTGGATGCAGCCCGTCTGCCGTGAACTTCTTCCCGGTCATAGAATCGACTCCATCGACTGAGTTCGGGGAAGAGATAGGCGGACTGAGAGTAAAGGAGGAGCCAAATGTATGTGAAGTGAAGATAGATGAAAGCGAATCACTCGAGTCTGAGCCGTTGTAACGAGCCAGGTGGATTGAGGGTAACGGAAGAAATCAAATATGAAGTAGAGACGAGCGAGAGGAAATTAGAGATGAAATGAGAGCAAATCTTCTATAGCCCTGGAGAGGTTCCTTCCAAGGAAGTGGTTGAAAGTTGAATGAACTGAAGGAAGGAACCATCTTTAATTAGTCTTTATATGTATACATATATGTAAGGATACATATTTTACCTTCTGTTGGGTTTATTGAAGTAGAACATCTCATAAAGCATTTGATTACATTAATTGCGAGCCACCAGGGCCAGAGCTAAATACATATGTAGAGACCAATGTCTCTAGATAGAGCCTTAAGCCAAAGGGACAGAACTCTTCTTTGGCTTCATAGCCCATCCAGAGAGGCAGGTCCAGCCCGCGCCACTCTTCCTTCCCTCGTCAAACACCCCGCCAAGACCCTCAAGCAACATAGACCGCTCGCGACCCATTTCCACTCGCAATTTCAGTAACCATTGCTCCCACATCCACCCCCCAATCAGTCCAGTCATACTGGCAATATCCGCCGTGCTACCAACTGGCCCTTGCACTGCCTCACAATCTTCAATATGGCTCTGCACACGCGGTGCGGGAGTCTCACGCATAGGCTCTTGCTCGACGGGCTCGGTGCCCATCGGGAGGAACATCCACGCGCGCTGCGTGTTGACGAATCCGCTGTTGCGCAGACGGCCAACGAAGCTCTTCGACGCTAGTGGGTCGTACCCACGGTTGCGCAGGTTGAAGGCAAACTCCACTGACGTTGCGGTGGCGTACGGCCCAGCCCGCGAGATCTCCGCGTCAAGAACTTGAAACTCGAGGTAGCCGCCTGGCTTGAGGCATCGCATGCACTCCTCCAGAACCAGGTCGTACTCGTCACGGTCCTTGCCTGCGGGACGTTCAGTCTTCAGCAGTGCGTGCAATGAGCGCGCGGAGATGACATCGAACTGGTTGTTGCCAAAGGGTAGCTCCCAAAGGTTGGCCACGGTCAACTGGCGGTGGTTGTGAGGGCCTTTGATGGCGTTGTTTACGGTCTGGTTCTTGGAGGAGACGGTGTAAACCTTGACATTTGGGAACTCGTGCGCGGCTTGCCAGGCCCAGTCGCAGGAGGAGTGGCCGCCAAGATCCAGGATGCGGAAGCTACGCTT